ATCTGTGAATAAAATTGATTTAACTTTCTTTGAGATTTTATTAGAATTTATTAACATTAAGCCTACTCCTATCATTCAGCGTTTTATTAGCTCCTCTTAGTCACATAATTTTTTTACCTTAACTGTGTGTATAGTAATGAGTTTATTGTGAATATGTAATTGTGAAAGTAAAGTCTATATCATTAGAAATAGAACTCATTATTTATCTGAGAAATTTCAGCTAATAATGGTTTGTGGAGATTTTTTATTTATGAAGAGGATTTACAAATGAATTATTCTTTTTCATTTTTTTGGACCGCTTCGTTATTACTAGTACTTCTAACATTAAAAGGATATAAAATTGATATAATTTCATTTCAATGTTTTCAAAAAGACATAGGGAAGAATTGAAATTAAAGGAAGTTGGATTGTTTGGATCCCAGGGAAAATATAAACTGAAGAATTATTTTTATATATGTGTATGTTTGTTTATAGTTTTATTTTGTTTTCTCCTTTGGAGAATCATTTCTGTTTCCTTTGACTTTAGGGTAGCCAGAGACCATTACAGTCATGTTACACATTTGTAGCTGTGATTGGGTTTCTTGTTTACTTCTGTGCTTACTTTACTTCCAGAGATTACAAATTTTAGACCTGAAAGACTTGTAATAGTATGTCACTTAACAGACTCATATTATGGATGAATAATCAAGACAGAGAGATGATGAAACTTGTTTAGTATCAAGGACACATAGTCACCAACCAAATTGGAATTTCTGCTCTTTGTCTCGGAGTTTAGTGGTCTTATTTTTTCAGTATGTATTTGTTTAGTGGGATTTTGGTAGTATTTATGTGTGTTGGAGGTAGAGGAGTAGAAATAGAGTATTCTTAGTTGATTATAATCATTTCATGCTATCCTGGGCCAGGATAAGGAATGAACTATTATACTGCTGCTCTCCTGCCTGTGAGCTAAGGGGCCACAGGAAAATATGCGTGCCTTAGCAAAGAAGTACTGCACAGTAGCAACTCCGGTAGTCAGCACTTTCTAGCAATTTGGCCCTCTATGAAAAGTGAAAAAGTCATTGGGTCAAAGCTCACGTATCTTTCACCTTCTTTGTGGGAGAGGAGTGCAGTTATTCTGTAAGCCCGTATCCTTAGCATGTTTCTAACATTCTCATTTTAATAACGGTGGCTGCTTTGTAACTACCTTTACATTTTCTGGGACTACTGTTTTAAAAGGCTTCTTGTTCAGGTATCTTAAAGCTCGGCAAGGCTGCAGGGTCATGGTTACTGTCACAGTAAGATGTGATAGATTGTAGTTGACCTGAAAAGAGATAGTTGTTTTATCATTTATAAAATGGGACTACAAAAGATAACCTTTAGGATCTCTTTAATATTAACCCTAATAAGCAAGTTTTCTAATTAATTTTTCTTGGCTTCAGTTTACTCATTTCAGAAATAATGATAATGATGCCTTACTTGATCATCTCTAAGAATTTTTTTAAATACTTAAAATATTGGGGTTGCCTGGGTGGCTTAGTCGGTTAAGCGTCCGACTTTCGCTTAGGTCATGATCTCGCGGTTCGTGGGTTCGAGCCCCGCGTCGGGCTCTGTGCTGACTGCCGGCTCAGAGCCTGGAGCCTGTTTCAGTCTGTGACTCCCTCTCTCTCTGACCCTCCCCTGCTCACGCTGTCTGTCTCTCTCAGAAATAAATAAAACATTAAAAAAAAAATTAAAAAAAAATACTTAAAATATTGGCTTATTTTAGAATATTTAGAAAAGCTCATTTAAATAAAATATTTAAATTATTTTATAAAGTATTTGGAAAGTTAATACTAGTTCTGGGGACACCTGGGTAGCTCAGCCAGTTAAGCATCTGACTCTTGATTTTGGCTCAGGTCAATGTCCTATGATTGAGAGATTGAACCCTGTGTTGGGCTTCAGGCTGACAGCACAGAGCCTGCTTGGGATTCTTTCTCTCCCTCTCTCTGCCCCTCCCCAGCTCATTCTCTGTCTCTCAAAAATAAACATTAAAAAAAAATACATGAATTCTAATATTCTTTTTTTTTAATTTTTCAAGTATTTATTTCCGAGAGAGAGAGAGAGAGAAGGGAGGGACAGAAAGGGAGACACAGAATCAGCAGGTTCCAGGCTCCACACAGTCAACACTGAGGCTGATGGCAAGGCTTCAAGTCATGTCAACCATGAGATCATGACCTGAGCCGAAGTTGGACACTTAACTGACTGAGCTACTGAGGCACTCCCAAAAAATCTATTTTAAACAGTTGCGAGGAGTGTAATTTTGCACTGGAACATACCATATAGATACACATTTACAGTATTTATATATATAGATAGGTGCATATAGAAAATTCTGGAAGGCAGCCTACCAGTCTTAACAGTGGTCATTTCTTAAGAGAGCAATAGGTGGATAGTGTGCAGTAAATGAGAGCTTTCAATATTTGGAGTTTTTACATTTATTACCATGTTACTTTTATAATATCCCTCAAGCCCAAAATACTATGTTTCTTAGCTTTTGGGAGAAAGAGGAAGTTAGTCTATCTTAATAATATTATTTTTTAAAGTTTTATTTTTGAGAGAGACAGAGTACAAGTGGGGGAGGGGCAGAGAGAGAGAGGCAGACACAGAATCTGAAGCAGGCTCCAGGTTCTGAGCTGTCAGCATGGACCCCACTGTGGGGCTACAACCCACGAACCACAAGATCATGACTCAACCGACTGAGCCCCCCAATGATGTTATTACGTTTGAATGCTGATTAAGATAATTAGAAACCATTTTGTATATATCAGCTGCACTTCCATTTTTAATGTTTATTTATTTTGAGACAGAGCATGCACACAAGCTGGGGGGGAAGGGGGTAGAATCCCAAGGAGACTCTGTGCTCTCAGTGCAGAACCCAGTGAGGGGCTTGAACTCATGAACCACGAGATCCTGACCTGAACTGAAATCAAGAATTGGATGCTTAGTTAACTGAGCCACCCAGGCACCCCTGATTGAATCCTTTAGAAAGTGAGCTTCTTTGTTAAAGATTGGAGGACTCTTAAACCTTATTGAGGATTGCTTAAAATCCATGTTTAACTGAAATTTGTTTAGCTGTTTGGTCAGTAGATGCATAAACTTCACAATCTATTGTCTTTTGATCAAAGTCTTCTTGGTTATTAGTTAAGTTGATGCTGTTAAATGGCATATCTCCACAACCATCTGCCATCTTACTCAGTGACTTTGTTGTGTATGTTTAGTTGGTTGCTAGCTGGTGGGCTTTTTTGTTTTGTTTTTGGAAACTGAGTGTCTGGGTAGGCAGAAGAACTGAGTTTGAGACATAGTTCATTAGCTTACTATGAATTTGAATTTAGTTAGGTTACTAACCCTAAATTTATACATCTATAAAATGAGAACGATATTAATCTCATTGGGTCATCCTGAAGATATGATAGCATTTATGACAGTACTTAATAATTGACAAAGTATATGAAAGTAATATATATTACTATTTTTTTTTTTATTTTATCATGCTACTGCCTGTACCTTGTTTTATTCTGTGTATAGCTTCTATTTCTGGAATCATTTCACCCGAAGGCCTGGTAGGCTCTTGTTCTTCTTATTCTGTCTCCGGTACTTATAGTATTTATTCTTTATCTCTTTAACTATTATCTCTTCAGGAATAACTTGTATTTTTGGTTTTCTCTTCTGGGATTCAGTCTCGTACTTTTTTAGGTATTTTGTATCCATATGCACATGAACTTTTATTGTTATCACCTGAATCTAAACTTGTCTTTCTTTCTTCCACAAACTTCTTTTAGACTTCTTTTTTTCTCTCATTTTATATGAAAGAATATTTTAATTCTTTTCCTTAGGAACTATAAAGACTATAAATATTTGAAAATGAGACTGTACCAAACATTGGCCAAAGAAAAATCTTTGACTCTATGCCTTGTCTTTGTTCTGTTCACTTAGAGATACAGTGTTATCAGCTGTGATTGTTGTTGCTTGTTGCCTCATATTACTTTTGTCTGTGTGTTCAACATAGTCTGCTCTCCTCCACATAGATGCAGGACCCCTTTCTCATATTCTAATATGCCATGTCTCTGAGCCCTGATCGGAATACTGATATTCATGTTGTGTTTTGACTGACATCACCCATCTGGTATGTTTCACTTTCCCCTGATCACCACATCTCCTTCATTGCTGGAGAAAATACCGTGACTATGTTTTTCTCTTCCACCTGATTCATGACATGGTCCTGACCCACTTGCCCAGGTAACTACATTCAATTAAGACATATTTCAAGAATGAGGCTGCTAGCTATTTCAGACTCCCGTCTTACAAAGTGATGGTAGAGCTCTGATGCAGGTTTCCAAAACATGCTTTTATTGGCCTTTCCTGCAGTCTCGTCCTTGGTCCTCGCCGGACGCTCTAGCCTGAACCTGGACGACCTCTTACGTCGGTAGTAAAATCATGCTCCCAAATACTCAAGACTTGAAAACCTGGAATTTTCTTAGGTGCCTATTTCATTTATGTCTTCTCAGTCATAAAATCCAGTGAGTTATTTTTAAAAATGTGTTCTGCATCCTTCCCTTTTATTCTCAGTATTAAATAATAAAAATAAAGTGTTGATACTTTAGTCCAGGTCCTCATTATTTTCCCTGTTGGTTTGTTATAGTTGGGTTTGAATTGGCTTTTAATTTACTATTCTCTGTTCTCTCTAGTTCATACAATAGAACTAAGTCTTTTTATATTATTAGATTAAATTTTACTAGATTCATCTTTTCAAACAACTGTTTTGCTTGAATCACTTTATACTTTTTAAAACACTTCATATTACTTTTGACTTCAACAGTGCAGATTTCTTAGCTATGGATTTCAGGCTTTTTATAAGGCTATATTTTAGAAATAAGTTATTTATAAGTAAATGTAGAAGTATGCTTATATACATTGTATATACACAGCACTATGAGATGGGAACATTATAGTAATGTGTGAAGATATGCATTATATATTCTTACCACGTGTCTTGTTGTTTTGGTAGTCTGATTCTCCAGTAGCAAAGCACACTGTTCTCTTGAGATTCTAATGCATTCCCATTAGGAAATACTTCTCTTCTCCAATCCTTCTTGAAAATTGCTATTTGTAAAGAGAGATTTATTGTTGAGTGTGTCATGAATAGAAATAGTGTGGAAGCAGAATCACAGCCGTAACAATATTACTGCTCTCTTTTTCCAGTCAACCTATTGCACTTCCATTTTCTTTATTAAACCCTGTCTCTCTTAGCAAATGCATGTACATTTCATGTGTTTGGTTGTAGCATCTTTTATTCTGGCACTGTTATGCCATGGGTTTTGTTTTTGTGAGGCCAAATCTTCAGGTTCTCATGGGTCTCCCAAACTTTTAATACCGCTTTAGTATATTATTCCTCTGTTAAATGCAAATGAGAATTTGAGAGAAACAAAGATCCTCAGCCACTAATAGTTAAGTAAATTATTTTCCCATACATCAGTTTTTTAATATACACACCTCAAATTAGCATCTTCACAGAATTACCTGGGATTACATTTTAAAGGCCATTGGGATTATTAGCTGACTGTGGTGAATCTCAGAATACTAAGAATCTACTATGTCATAGTAATGGTATGTCACTGACCTCCCCTTCTATGTCAGTAGATTGTTAGATATCTGAGGTAAAGTTCTTGAAGTTTTGTTTTATTTTTTGTTTGTTTCTGAAGGGCTTAATATTGTGTATATTTGCAGATCTAGTCAGTGACTCTTGTTTTAATTTGATTTAAATCATTGTTTGGCTTTAACCTATTAATTGGTTGACTTTGGCTTTGTATTTTTCAGTTCTCTGTTTTTAGTTGATAACACGTTGATAATAAAACTTTATTGATCTGAGTAAGAATATTGAGTGCTTGTGATTAACTCTAAAAGTCAACTTGAAAACTGCATATAAGAATAATTATTATACAGTATTATAAATGATATTGGGGATTGTTTCAGAGTGAAGCACTCTTCTGCTTTGAAATAGTTTCTTATTTTCATGAATATTGGCATAGAATTATAAATAAAAGTCTGCAAAGATTTATTTTAAATGTTTATTTTTGAGCGAGAGGAGATAGAGTGAGCAGGGGAGGGACAGAGAGAGAGGGAGACAGAATCCCAAGCAGGCTCTGAACTATCAGCACAGAGCCTGATGCGTGGCTTGAACTCACAGACCGTGAGATCATGACCTGAGCCAAAACCAAGAGTGAACACTTAACCAACTTGAGCCATCCTGAGGCCCAAGGCTGGAAAGATTATTAAAAGCAAAAGTTCAGGGGGTAAATGTAAATGTATATCATTACCTGTAGCTTTCATATTCCACTTCTTTGAGCAAAATAAGTCTGTTGCATTTAAGTGAATTTAGATATGAATTTAGATATGAAGAAGCCTGATAAATTTTTGCCAGTTTGTATTTGGTTACCTGATTACCACTGGAACCCAGTGAGCTACTTTATCAAAGTCGAATCCGCATATATGTGGATACCTGATGTGTTCAAGGAACTGTTTTAGGCATTGTGGGGGATATGAAATAAAGGATACTGATATTGGTACCTATTTATTGAAGATTTACAACATGTGAAGTCAGTGTTTTCCAAAGTGGGTAGATGAATGGAAAGATAGATGGCTAGGTAGCTAGATCGGTAGGTATAGAGAGAGTCAGAGAGAGAGTCTAAACAGAGAAAATACTATGACCAAATAATTTTATCCTTGTGGTAAGAGTGCTGTGAAGGTAATAAGCAGGGTATATAACAGTTGCAGGAGGATATGTACATCACTGGTGGCACAATGTGATTTCAGATATGAAAGTTATTTCCCTTTTCCCGTTTTGCTGATTACAATTAGGAAAATCTGAGTTTTAGTACCACTGTGTCTTTTACATTTCTGCATATTTGCTAATTGTCTTTAAAAAAATAAAACAGACTGCACTTTAGACTCAATTCTAGCCTTTGGCAAGAATTATCCAGAGAATTTAATCATGTTTTATTTTCCTTATAATTAATTTTAGTATTACCTTCTAATTATGACTGTGGCCTAGCTAGAACAGTGTCTCAAAAAATTTATACAGCCCACAGTAAGAAACATAATTTGTGGGGTACCTGGTTGGTTTGGTTGGCTGAGCGTTGGACTTGTGATTTCAGCTCAGGTAGTGATCCCAGGGTTATAAGATCAAGCCCCAAATCAGGCTTCACACTGAATATGGAGCCTGCTTAAGGTGCTGTCCCTCTGCCCCCCTCCCTCTGCCCCTCTCCCTCTCTCCCCTCCCTCTGCCCCTCTCCCTCTACCCCCTCCCCCCCCCCCCCCCGCTCCTCTCCCGTGCTCATGTTCTCTCCCTCTTGCTTGCTTGCTCTCTCAAATTAAAAAAAAAAAGTTGTGTCATGAGCCAATAGTCATATATGTAAATATAACAAGATACAAGTTTCACCCAAGGTTAGTCAGGGTGTACTTCATTATTTTAATTGGGCTAGAATTACCTTGAAAAAGTTTTCATCTAGTTCATTAATTAAATTATGGTCTGAAAAAAAAGTAAAAGAAAAAACTGCATGAACTAGAAAAAGAAATATGTAGTATGATTTTTGTTTAATTGTAAGAAAACTGTGTGTGCCTAATAAATTATATTCATTTGTTATAACGGTTTTTGAATGTTTTTCTTATTTTTACATTTAATATTATATTTATAAAGTTTTAGTTATTGCAGATATTTTATATTTGTCATGTAATGTGTTAGGCATTTCCATATTTCTACGTTAGGAATGTATATATAAGTTGACTCTCTGTCTCTTAGGATACCTTACTCAATCTTTCTTCTTGGGTGTTTTTACCTTATGTAAAATGTTGATGTGGGGATGCCTGGCTGGCTCAGTTAGTGAAGTGTCCAACTTTGGATCAGGTCATGATCTCGTGGTTTGTGAGTTTGAGCCCCTCATCAGGCTTTCTGCTGTCAGCACAGAGCCCTCTTGGGATCCTGTCCCCATCTCTTTATGCCCCTGCCTTACTTGTGTGCATGCTTGCTCTCTAAAAAAAAAAAAAAAAAAAAAAAAGTAAAAATTCCATGATTATGGCCTTTTGCTTTTTAAAATATATAAAGTCACTCATAAACATTTTATAACTCTTGTATTTAGCCCCATACTACCTTTTCCTTCCAGATATTGTAGTTTTCAGTTCTAAAATTTTCAAATTATCAGTTGATTCTCTTTTGTAATTTTTCTTTCCCTAATTAAAACTGCATTTTTGCATTTATTTCAAGAATTTGCTCCTTAACCTTATTGGGGATGATTATAGTTTTTTTAAAGTTTGATGATTCCAACATGAGCATCATTCTGAGGTTGACATTTGTTGATTATCCTTTCACTGGAGCATTTTCCTGGTTGTGTGTGTGTGTGTGTGTGTGTGTGTGTGTGAGAGAGAGAGAGAGAGAGAGAGAGAGAGAGAGATGTCCAGGAAGTTTGGCTGGTATACTGGACATTTTCAGTATTATACTGTAGGACTTCATTAAAATCGTCTTAAGAATGTGGATTTGTTTTCTTTAGCCAACATTCAACTTGGTTAGGTTCAGGATGCAAGTTCTGTCTTGCCTTTTTGTAGCAGTTTTAATGTCAGTTCCATTTTACAAGCATTTTGCATGTTGCTCTTTAGGTGTACCCAAAACATGTGCCACTCAGGAGTTAGTGGTTTATATAGATTTTTGTTCTCAAAGCTTTTGCTGGGTTTGTTTTGGGTGTGTTTCACACAAACAATTCCAGAATGAGCCCAAGACTTTCATTTATTTCTTTTTTAAATTTTAAAATGTTTTATTTATTTCTGAGAGAGAGAGAGACAGTGTGAACAGGGGAGGGTCAGAGAGAGAGGGAGACACAGAATCTGAAACAGGCTCTAGGCTCTGAGCTATCAGCACAGAGCCTGATGCAGGGCTCAAACCCTTGAACCGTGAGATCATGACCTGAGCCAAAGTTGGACGTTTAACTGACTGAGCCACCCAGGTGCCCCAAGACTTTTAAATTCATACACAGAAGGAGGGGATCCTTTTCAGATCTCTGTGTGACTCCCATACTCTATCTAGATCCCAAGGCACCCTTTTCTCAAAAAATCAAGTTTCTCTCCATGTTGAGCCTTCAGCGTTGAAGTGGTAAGAAAGAAAAGGGGATTCCTCACCATACTTTTTGGGCTCTTTTCCTAGTTCCTCTATCTGGAAATTGCTATTCTTTTGGTGGGGGGGGGGGATTAGGTGCTGGCCACAGTTGCTGCCTGCCCTCTGACCCTTAGTGTGTCGTGTGAGAAATGAGAGAGGGGAAGAAAAGATTGCTCCTGGTGCCCACCTCATCATGGAGGAGTCCTTTTACCTGGCAAGGTAAAAGTGTTCTGGCAAGACGAAAGGGGCTTCCTCTAGCGTGTCTGCTTCTAGCACTGGCTGTGCGACTCAGCCGGCTCTCTGGCATTGAAGCCTGTAGATAATACAGTTATTTACAGCATAAAACAATAGGAAATTTACTTCGGTCCCTTCTCCTGCCATCGCTGGTTATTGTTCTACTCCAGTTTCTGGTCAGCTTCCTGTTGATTTTACTTCTCAGTCTTCAGGTAGTCGCTTTTTTTGTATTTATTGTGGCCGGTTCAGTTGTTCTCAGTGGGGGAGAGAGGCGGTGTTGGCTTGCTCCATCTTGGCTCGCTGTAACTCTTGTGTACCTTTCTAAGAGATTTTTGTTGTTGTTTTGAGAATTAGAGAGGGGGAAGAGGGGCCCAGAAGGATGGGGGGGGAGAGAGAGAGAGAGAGAGAGAGAGAGAGACGGAGAGCGTGCGCGTGTGCACACGCGAGAGAGAATAATCCCACTTTGTACATGGAGCCTGACTAGGGACTCCATGTCCCCTATGTGAGATCATGACCTGAGCTGAAATCCAGAGTCACCCAGGTGCCCCGAGAGTATTGTTTTATCCACTTTATTCCAAGAATTTGGAAAGGAATTGTAAATTTTTGTACTGAATTAAAGGAGCACACAAATAATTTTTTGTGGTCTAAATTTAGTTTTTTAAGTAGTAGTTTTGGGAGGAGAGTTGATTATAGTTTCTCTTTGTTACTAACACAGTTTTAAACTATAAGCTAGATTCTGAAATAAATGGCTACCTTTTTATAAGAGTGTTCAAAACTATAGTATTAACCTTAGACCCCTGCCAGGGTTGAGAAATAGTGTTCTGCTTAGTAATATAAAAGGTTAATTATGTGAAAATACTTTAGTCCATAGGAAAAAATAATTAGTTACAAAGCATGTAAACATTTATGTTTGTCATAATAATTTTGTTAGCATTTATATACATATCAAAATCTGGCTTTTTAAACAATGTTTATTTTTGGGAGAGGTGCAAGCAGGGGAGGGGCCAAGAGAGGGTGACAGAGGATCTTCGGCTGGTTTTGCACTGACAGGCTAACAGCAGCAAGCCTGATGGGAGTCTTAAACCCATGAACCATGAGATCGTGACCTGAACCTAAGTCGGATGCTCAACCGACTAAGCCACCCAGATGTCCTTTTTTTTTTTTTTTTTTTTTTAAACTAGAGGA